CGTGGGAGGCTCTCCTGGCTGCATCGACTGAATTAACTCTTAGCTTAGGCAAGGGCTGTCTGTGCTGGGTTGGGTGGGCTGAAGCTCCACCACCCCGCTCTCCTGTGCCGAGCGGTGGGGTTCGATGCTCTGCAGGCCAGCAGCTGGGGAGGCAGGTAAGAACATGCACCTTCAGATTAGGAAATCTGCCTTAAGTTCTGCTGAAGCTGTTTGACTACCTGGTCGCAGTCCCTTCCTCTTACTTCCCCGGCTCCTCAGAAAACTTTCCGCTGTGCTGTCCCCTCTGCCGACACCTGCCGAAGTCCTGAAACTGAGACGACCCTTCGCTGTCCGCCTAAGATATCCCACGGCATCTTCAGCGCTGAAGCTGCTGCGTGGAGCTGCTCCTGAAGGATGTTTTTTGCTCTCATCATGCACAACTTGGAGCAACTGGAAGGGAACTTAGCGGCCGAGAGCCCGGAGATTGCCTGATGGTGTCAGGGAGGTTGATGAGAGCTGCTGATAGCCCAGACCGCTGGAGGACACACCTCAGCTGATCACTTGTTGCTGATGATCGGAGAAGACCGTGCAGAAGACTTCCAATATTTGGAGAAGAAACTGATAACCCCTCCTTGGCATTGAACTAAAGGGAAAAGCCACGCGGAGTGGGATATTCCCACCTCTCCTATTGCAATCAGCAAAATGGACCATTTGATTGCATCATCATAGATGGCATTTCCCTGCTTATTCCATGTATGAAGCCTTGCCTCTGAGTGACGGCCCTGGAGGTCACGGTAACATTGTTTTACAGCTTTATGGTACCTGCCCCTCCTCGTCTTGGGTCCTCCAAGAGCCTGGAGGAAGGAGTGGTGCTGGAGCCTGGCAGCCAGGCACCGTGGTGGGGTGAATCACGAGCCCCTTCGGAGAAGGAAGCAGGAAAACTGTGTCTGTGCGAGGCTGGAGGACACACACGAAGCACTAGCGCCCGCGTTCCCGTGGGCTCGGTTACCCTGTGCAGCTAAAAGCCGTGGGGCTAAAGACGCCGATTTATGGCCCCTCCGTTTCCCCGGGAGATGAGATCAGGATTTACAAAGCGGCGGGGAAAACTGCTCTGGAACCCCACAGCATGATTTGGCAGGGAAAACCCTTTCTTCATCTGTTTGCCTCTCGGAGGGGTCAAGGAAGGGCTGAGGCACCGATGTGTAAGGGGGTGTACAGACACCCCCCTGGAAAACACCTCCGAGAATCCCGAATTACAGCTCTCTCTGCCCTGAGGACCTCCCTCGCCGCTTCTTATCTGGTGGAACCTGGGGCCTCCTTTGATCAACGAGCCTCCAGAAGCAGGGAAAGTGTCACGGATGGCCCCGTCCAGCCCCAATCAGTGAACGTGACCGGAGGGAATAACGCCACGTCCCCAGCGAGGGCTGTCGTACCACGTTTTCGTGAGCTTTGCAAAAGACTCTCGTTTTCAGCCGGAGCTGCTTTGAGGCAGAAGCACACGTAGAGCATCGAAGATCCCAGACACTGGAGAATTCATTCCAGCAGCCCGTATTTCCAGTGCGTGACATCCACTGTCTGCTCCAGAACACAGCGAAGGTGGCTGATGCACCTTAAAAGACAACACCCTCCAAGCAGATGGCAAAGCAGAAATTGCTTTATTCCCTTATCTCCATGCGTTAGGGAAGGAGAAGGCAGGGTCAGAACTAATCCTGACCTTTAACCGTTTGTTTCCCTCTTCTCACAGCTCTGTAAGCCCCAGCTCGTCTCTACAGGTTAAGGGGAGTAAAGACAAGCCACTCATGCTTTGCTCAGTGTCCCACCTAATCCTCCAAAGAGCTCCACAGGCTGTGGTCTGCTGCCCAAAGTCATGCAGGGTAACATCTGGGTGCGTGGAGCTCTGCTGGGAAAGGATCAAGGGGCCTTTCTTTGCTGCTGTTGTAGAAAAGAGCTCATTCTGGAGCTTGCAGAAGACCTTTGGCATTGCAAAATTTGTTAGAACATACTGCCCACGTTCAGAACTGGTTTTCCTTTGTCCACCGCAGCTCAGCCATAGACAAGAAGACGGGGGAGAAAGTGGCTATCAAGAAGCTCTGCCGCCCGTTCCAGTCGGAGATCTTTGCCAAGAGGGCGTACAGAGAGCTCATGCTGCTGAAGCACATGCAACACGAGAACGTGAGTACTCGTTTCTCTCCGCTCCTGATGAAACGAGGGGAATTTTCCTGCCACCTGCAATCAAGTCCTTTCTAGTGGCATCACCCTAATTTTAGTTGAGAGGTCCCGATGTTTGGCACAGGCAGGCAGTCTCGGGGTTTAACTGCTACCTGCCTGCTGTGCCCAGCTGGCACCAGGCTGAAGCAGACGTGTCATGGGTGCTCCCGTGTATTAGTAAGAGGAAAAGTAGCTGTGCAGCATAGCGAGGAGTCCTCGGATTCCTCTCGGTGCTCACCCATGTGCCTGTGCCCATGGAGAGCTGCCGCCCGAGTCCCACGTGCACAGCAAATGCTTTCCAGGTTTAAGTTTGGACTTCTCTTCTCCTTCAGGTCATTGGGCTGCTTGACGTCTTCACCTCCGCCCCCTCCTACCAGGGATTCCAGGACTTGTAAGTCTGGAGTTTGTGTTCACTCTGTCCAGCCTCAGTCGCTGCCCAAGACACCTGGGGTCAGGCTGAGGACCAGTCCAACAGACGGGGTGGGAAAGGGGCCAGACCAAAGCCAGACATCCCCGAATAAAAAGGAGAATCGAAAGCACAGGCCAGTTCCCACAGCTGAGACACCCAGAACACGTGAACGGTTCCCAGGCCATGGCCGCTGGGAGGACACGATGTGCGCAGACCAACGTGTCTAACGACGTGTTGCAGCCCGTGGCGTGTCACGTGTAGCGTGATCCACGCTAAGGCGCTGCCTGGGCGACTGCTGAGCTGGGAGCCCGAGCGCAGAGCAGGAGCAGGATTGTCCATCAGGCCCTGGGGAAATTACACCGAGAATTCTAAAGACCTGGCTTTCTTTTCACCCTGATTCCGACTCTTCTTTTATTTTTTTGGTGTTTCTCTCAGTGTTGACGGTCAGGTTGGACGAGTCGTTTTCCCTTCCCCATCCTTGGGCACGAGCAGCGCCTGGGTTGGGGTTTTCGGCTGACGGCTGGGGATTTAG